ATACTAAGACTTCGTTGGGGATGATTTTTTTATTGCTTGTTAAAGCAGCTTTTTATTAAGAAAGCTGTTCCAAACGAAACCTAAGATGAATATTTTGTGGAACAAGTTAAAAAATTAATTAGAATTACAACAAACTACTTAATTATTTCCTCTGCATGATGCATGTTCCTACAACATATCACGGTTGGTAGTGCAAAAATGTCTTGCTCTTAAAGGGAATGAATTAGGGGTGTCAACTTTTGACACGACCCGAAAATCCGATTCGGACCCGACCCGAAAAATCCGGGTTGGACCCGACCCGATTTCAAAACGGGTAGGGTTCGGGTTCTAGAAATCGACCCGTTTGAAAAACGGGTGGGTCGGGTGAGGGCGGGTTGCCGGTCACCCGTTTGACCCAAACAGCAGTCGCGTCGGGTTGACCGCGCGTCCGCGTGGGTGTCCCGCGCTCCCGCGCTCAATGCAGCGCTGCGCGCTGCTGGCTACTCGCTTCCGCTCCATGATCGGTGTCCGCGCTCCGGCTCCCAACCGATCGCGCGCTGCGGCGGCGCCGGTCGCGCTCGCCCTGCGCTACTGCGCTCGAGCTCCGAAGCTCGGTCGGGTCCGGGCCGGGTCCAACCGACAGCCCGCCGGTTCGGGTTCGGTTGAGATTTTCGACCCGTTTGACCTAAGCCGGTCGGGTAGGTTCGACCCGTTTGAACCCGGTCCTTCCGGGTCGAACCCAAACCGACGTGACCCGAAATTGACATCATCCAATGATTGTGAGGAAAACCAATTATAAGCGATAAAGAAATTGGCACACTTAATGAAGTTGGATTAAAGTTCAGATAGAATAAAACAGGAATAACTCTTGATACGCTATGCGAAATTAATTGATCGGCGACGAATCTCGAGGCAACAATCAATGGAGAACTTCAAAAATTTAATCCGGAAGCACGCTGAACTCCGATTTGTCAAGCGAGCTTACAGTCAAACTGAGCATCTCGAATACGAATCCAACGACACAATTCAACCCATCCCGAGCCAAATGGGGTCCGAATCATGGACCCGAACCTGTTGGAGTGTCAAAACCGAAGTTGATGTTACCAAACGCTCGGATTTTTAACGACTTATATCGAATTCGAGACTGGCTCGACGAGACGAGTCCCAACGAGCCCAAGACACAGAAGTCGACATCACAAGCCCTCCAAATGCCAATGAAGTGGACGGTCAAGATTCCAATATCGGACCGTCCCATTGACACTCCTTTGCCCTGATCTCACGCCTATTTTCACGGCAATGCCACTCAAAAATCTATAAATAGAGCCCTCATCTTCAAAGATAGGTATCCAAGCAGAGAAGAAGAAGAGAAAGAAGGAGAGTTCTCTCCTCGACAGCCCGGATCCAGCGCCAGAAACACGCAGAACCTCGCCGAGACCACCGCGAACACCGCAGGAATCTCGCGACCACCGCCGTGAACCGCAGAACTCGCCGACCACCACAAAACCTCGCGGCCACACCTTAAGGCACGACGTTCACCCCGTGTCTGCAACAACCCGACGTCGTTGTTCAAAGCCCGACACATCAGTCCTAGCACCTGCAAAGACCGCGTCTGTCAAGCGCTGACACTCAGTCCCACTCCTGCAAGACCCGACGTCTGTTTCAGGCCCAAAGTTAAGACATCTGCTCAAGTGCCGACCATCAACATCCGATCTTCAAGTGACACTGAGACTAACTGAATCCTACTCCTACGACTACGGTCTTTCTGACCACTGCGCTAATACGTCCGCCGCTCCATCACCAGACAACGGCCCGGCCGACTACGGTCTCCGCCACACGGTCTCTGCAGACTACGTCTCCGCCGACACGTCCGCCGACTACGGTCCTGCCGACTACAGTCTCAGGCTTGTCGTCCCTAGGTCCTTCGCGCTCCACAACACAAATCTTCTACCCCGTCTCCAGCGGACTCCGTCTCAGCGATACCGTCCAGTAGGCAAAGAACCTGTATATGTAACTCCAATGAATGCAATCTATATGGGTAATTTGCTACATGCAATCCAGCTTCTCCAAAGGAAGGGCTCATTGTAATGACTAACAAATACAGTGGATCAGTTCAACCGGCCAGGCCCGTGGTTTTCCCCCTTTTTCAGAGGTTCCACGTAAAAACTGTTGGTGTCTCTATGAAGCTTAACCCCTCTCACTATCTGAGTGTGCTGGATCTTTTACACCTAAGACGTTAAACTAAAAAATATATCTCTAACGCCGCGATTCAGAGCAAACAGTTTGGCGCGTCGTGGGAAAGTATTCCCGACTGGGGCAATTTTTTGCTCCACCACCAACCCCCCCCCCCCAAAAAAACCCCCCCCAAAAGAAACTAAAAGTTATTCACTTCTATTGATGCAGTCAAGTACTGGACTTAGACCAGACTGGGGCAACCTGTGAGATATAATAAGTCAAGAGATCTCAATAGCTCCAACATCAAATGATATTCAAAGAATCAGTTTAAAATGCAAGGATAGCTTCCAATTAGTTTATATGCTTTATAAGTCCCCTTGAATTGACTTTAACTCCTTGGCACTGCTTAACTGACTTGAAAACTGCAGTAACGGTCAAAGATAGAGCCATTCTGTTCACCTTTGATTCGGTGATACACACGGCGTTTGCCCCCTGCCAATCAAGAAAAATTGATCAGGGGGCATCGAGTCGGACTCTTCCACTCGGTTAAGCTGCGTCGCGCAAGGCTCGACATACAACTCTGGAAAGGTCGTAGCACCGTGGATTCTCCAGCCGCCTTCCCCAGGGTTACGTCTGCGAGCAAGGCTCCGACATACAAGCTGGAAAGGTCCATAGGCATCCTTGTGGATTCTCCGACCTCTTCCACAGGTTAACATGTCGAGCAGAGGTCCGTCATAAAACTGGAAAGGTCTCAATCCTGGTGGATTCTCCACGACCTCTCACACAGGTTAGCGTCGCGAGCAGGGCGACCGATTACAACCGAAAAGGTCTATCCTTAGTGATCCCCGCCTCTCCAACAGGTTAACGTCGGATCGAGCCAAAGGGGCTCCGAAATACATACCTCGCAAGGTCGCACATCTGGTGATTCTCCGATCTCTTCCACACAGCGTTAACTGTCGAGCAAAGCTCCGACAATAAACACGGAGAAGGTCTCACATCTTGGTGGATTCTCCCGGACCTCTTCCACACAGGTAACGTCGTGAGAGGGCTTCCGACATACAACTCGTGAACAGTCTCACATCCTTAGTGGATTCTACCGACTCTCCAGAGGTTAACCGTCGAGACAAGGGTGGCGATACAACCTCGGAAAGTCCACATATGGTTAACTCCGCCAGAATGCGCAAGACGCTATTGAATTCTCCAAATGTACAATTCTAACGATTTGAATTTCTCTATCGCGACTTTGCCTCAGGACTTCGACGGCTAATACTGGACGCGAATTCTTCTAGTGTCGACTAATACCGACGTGGCTTGCTCCTCAATGACTGTCATCCTTGACTCGTGACTTCTGCTCCGTCAGCAGACTTCTCCTGAAGTAGGACTTCTGCTAGTCAAGGACTGTCTTAACACGGACGTCGACTGTCAACTTGTC